TCTGTGCTTCTGCTTCTAGATTTCTGTTATCAGCTTTATCGTCCACAGTGTCGTTCATCTGAGAACAAAATCTATATCTTCAGTGTTCCCACAAATATTTCTCTTACCCTACTCATATTTTATACGTGTTAACTCACCTGTCTCTCCACTTTCAGAAGCCCAACACATAGTCTTAGGCTGCTGTACCACCGTGTTAATTATATGACGGATTTTCCCGACCCTTTTCTCCATTTCCGTACCAGAAGCGGGGTAGGTGTCTTTATATACAAGTCCTCCCGCCCGCCCGTCCGTCCCTATGCCGTCACCTTTCTTTCCTTCATTTCCTTGATGCCGTGGCGCTACTTTTAGATCCCTCTATACAGAGAGCGGGCGCGTGTTTGTGCGTTGAGATGGCAGAGATCTGAAGATCTTCACCCAGCAACAGACTGACAAGCCAGCAGATACGCAAGTACAGACATGGCAAAGAAAACACGCACTGTCCGTATTTCCCTTCAGAGTTCGTTTTTCTGTTGTGTACCCAGCATCTTCCTAGAAGATTTCATCAGACTTAAGGCCTGTTTCTGGTATACCGTATTTACGCATGTATAGGCCGCAGCACAATTTTCAGACAGAAATTATAGAAAAAATAATTTTCTTGGAATATTATTCCAGGAGTATTACACCCTGTATTACTAATTATGAATATATATTTTTTTAAATGAAGTGTGATTTCGAACATTTCGAATATAAGCCGCACCCCAGTTTTCCTCTTGAATTTTTGGCAAAAAATGTGCGGCCTATACATGCGTAAATACGCTACTTTCTGTTCAGGAAGGTCACATTGCATGAAGTGGCAAGCATCTACCCACCAGAGTCTCTTTCTTGAAAAGCTGCTAGTTGCTCATCCGAGCAAAATGTTACCTGCCTCGTAAGGAACTGAAGATTCAGTATCGTCTTCATAAGATTAAGCCACTGGACCATATCCTGACTGACACAGTTGAATCCATTCCACATCCTCACACCGTATTTAATACTCATTTCAATGCTGTCCTTTCCTCTGCTTCTAGGTCTCTCGCATACCTTATTCCTTCCAGGTTTTGCGGCTAAAATGTTATATGCATTTACCGTATTTACGCATGTATAGGCCGTACATTTTTTGCCAAAAATTCAAGAGGAAAACTGGGGTGCGGCTTATATTCGAAATATTCGAAATCACACTTCATTAAAAAAAATATATTCATAATTATTAATACAGGGTGTAATACTCCTGAAATAATATTCCAAGAAAATTATTTTTTCTATAATTTCTGTCTGAAAATTGTGCTGCGGCCTATACACGCACGTTGCCTATACATGCGTAAATACGGTATCTCCATGTTTGTTTCATATTCCGCTGATCACCTCCTGGTTATTTGATGGCCGTAATAAAACGGAGACAGGAAAGCGAAATGAAAAGTATTGAAAATGATGTATTTATGTTTGTATTAAGGGCTGACTTGAAACTACATTCCGGTCCAACGGCTCAGTTTCAGAAATCTTGCAATTGCAAACTAGACACATGGGCCACGCGCCAAGGTGTTCAGTAGGAATTACCTCTTACACATGCTACTACTGAGCAGTGAAGACAGAGAAGAAAACCAAGGCGTTCTGTATTTATGAAGGAGAGTGACTTCGGTAAAATAACATACACATTAGTGTAACGCCTCTTGAAATTTTTTTTTTTTATTTATTAATCAGCAATCAGAATTTTACATTCTATAAGCTAATGGTCTGTTTGGTTCGGTTAAAGGGAAATTCTCCTCCCCGATCTTTTCGTNGCGAGGGATGCATGAGCCCTACTAAAATATTAGACAATGTTAGGCAAACCCCTTCAGGAAACTTAATAAATTATGTACAAAAGAAATTTGCTTATAACAGACAACTTCGAATAGGAAGTTATCTGTTTTTAATATAAAAAAGTGCCTTGCCAATCTAGGCCAGATCTTTTATTTGGAATTGAATTCAGTGTAACTGGAAACATCAATACCTACCGAGCGACCGCCGCTTGTCGGCGAAGTTAGTGCCAACTTTAGCGGATAGAGGGTGTCGCGTGGTCAGCTCAACGAATTCTCAGTGCCGTTAATTTCGGTTTTCTAGACCGGAGCCACTATTTTCTCGAAGCAGCTCCTCGGTCGTTATAGTTATCTTGCGGACTACAGGCTACGGAGTTTGTTTTTGTTGTTTTGTAATTGAAGACATCTGTGTAGAGTACAAGTACATTGGTCACAGAGCAGGGTGGATGGTGGATTTCGCTGGTGTTGGTCGCATTCCCTGATTATACAGCCTTTCCTCCCAGAATAAGTTCTGCCGCCACTGTTAAAATGAACGCCTACACCAAGAAAAGAAATCGAAGAAGTATACAAAAATTAAACGTGAATATTGAATATACCAACACGGCGGGAACTCTTTACGCGGGTATCTCATAGCATTGGCAAGGGGATTGATGGATGTATTCAGAACAGTGGAAGGCACTTCCAGCATGTTTGTGGACATTCATTTTTGTTTTATGCTCAGCGAGATAGAAAATGCAGTGTTTATATATGGGTACGGTTTTAAATGGATTCCTCTGTACGTCATTGCTTATTCCCCATTTCACATGCCTGATACCCCATGAACACCTATCCTTAAACCTAGTAAGCCACGTGACTAATGTCTTTATTTCCACTTCTCGTTTCTTCTACGGCTGTACTTTTTTTTATTGCTAGTGGGGTGGGACTAAGTCCCTTGTACTGCGGCCACTTCTGGCCTATTGTACCAGCCACAGATGATAGGTGAGGGTGATTGTGGAGCAATTGGTGGAATGAAGATTGGCAGGGGAAACCGAAGTACTCGGAGGAAACCTGTCCCAGCGCCACTTTGTCCACCACAAATCCCACTTGACCAGACCCTGGATCGAACCCGGGCCGCCGCCGTGGGAAGCCAGCGACTAACCGCTTGAGCTATGGCGCGGCCTACGGCTGTACTTCCCACTGCATTTAATGTTATGTTTTCCACACCAGTTGTTTTACCCAGTCTTTCGGGACCCTTCAGTCAGTTTTCACTGTAGTCCCCTCGCCATAGAACTATCTGTACCTTTCATGGATATTTCTCACAATTGTTTCCGCTTGCTTAATCATAATTATTGAGAAATTTTTTGGCAGCCTTCACTTCTAAACATTACTCATAAAACACTGCAGTGTTATGGCAAAATGGAGAAAGGAACCGAAATTGAATTACCTGAGACTAATGCCACACTTGCAGATAGGTTTTCTTGGGCCCGAATATGTGTCAGCCGAAGAGGCCTAATTGTTGGTAAGTTGGCAAGAAAACCCCCATCGTTCATTGCCATATTCACAAGAGCCCGGCACTGGAGCCTGTCTTGAGGTATCTAACTACTGTGAAAAGTAAAGCGTTGCAAGAAATCGTATCGTTTCTTATAGGAAAATAGGGTTTAGTCGGTTAATGACGCTGAAGTCGTAATCATTAGAACTATTCATTCTTGCGAGTAAACAGTACACCACGAGGACAAAACTACTTACGAAGTTAGAGGTTCTTACGATGATGACTATGAAGACTGTCTTTTGTGATGTGAGCCATTTGGTCTGATAGAAGCTTACTGATGTTACGGAACAAAGTAATTGCCTCGGTCTTCAGGATAGATTAGTAAGCCAAGCCAGCTGCAAGCAGAATTACTTGTTATTGAACGTTAAAATTCGTAGAACAAATAATTATCACACTTCAATAAATAGAGTACCTATTGCCTGCTGTAAATTACGGGGCTTTAGTCTGTAGCGTGTGAATATGTAATATTGATAGTGTGACAAGTGAAGGTGTGGCGTGTCTATGGCAAATACGTTCTACAACTTATCTTGAGTGCGTGCTACACCTCTATCCAGCAAGTTCCCTACTTCCAGAGTCTTGGTACTCACACGCCACTACGTTGCTTCTTTCGTGATTATAATTGTGAATGTCGTGGTGATAATGAGGCTTGTGCCGAGGTTTGCGCTGTAGCCTGCGGTTCTCTAAGAACAAATAACCACCCATATTCTTTTATAACATAGCTTACCCATCTCGCTCTTTTATTTGGAACTGGGGTTTTCGTTTCATCTTTCCTTTTATGGCTGAAGCCATCAAAACTGATTCCCTTTTTCCCAGTTTCGAGACAGTATGTTCAGCATTATGAGCACGTTGCGTTGCAGAGCTGTAGTCTGTGAGAAGAGATGGCGAAAATTGCATTGTACCGAAGGAGAAGAATGATCTAAGTGCTGATCCATCACGTCACCCACAGGAATTATTCCGACTTTGGGGTTTCATAAAATGTTGGGGAATTCTTGAGAAGCTGAGGAGAGATTGGCGCCTTCACCAGAAAGAACCAGATGAATTAAGTCCATACCACCCCATCATATTTCTCTAAAGTCCCAGATATCCTGTTCAACATCAATTCTGATAAAAGTACCTGTCTTTAATATTTAGAATTGAAAATATTTTATTCTTTAACAAATCAGTTGAACTGAATGATTCTTTTTATGTACATACTTAGGTATGTTCTACACAACTTGTATGAGTTTCATTCAAGTCTGCAGAGTCCCTCATTTGTATTATTAAAAAGGCAATGTTTGCACCGCCTAATACAGACACACACACACACACAGTTATGTTATTCGATCTTGTTCTATTAATTGTTCCGTGGTGTTGATGCTGTTCCTGTCATAATGCAAGGCATTTCTTATACAGATGGTAACTGACTGCTCATCATCATCAGATGAATTAGTTAGCTGATTGGTTGGTTGTTTCTTTAGTCACAAGCTTCATCACACTGCTGCTCTATATTCAAGAGCTGCTGGATTTGGTTCTTGGGTCCAGTATAACCAGCCATCCTGACTGGGATTTTTTGTAGTTCTTCACACTCCATGGAAGTACTGTTATGGCATCTTAAAATATAGAGCCCCAAAACTGCTTTATGCTATTGCAGATTGTAATCAGTTCTCTTTATTTGTTTTCAGACAAATATGATAAGTTTGGAAGCCTTACCAAAAATAATTGACACCACCCAATTGACATCAGACTTGGAAGGCACACTCCACTATGACCACTCTCAGTGGATTGATATGAGACTGGTGAGTTATGTTGCTTTACAGAGTGGCAGGTTGAAAGATATTTTGTAATTTTACAACTGTCTGGATTAACTTATTAACTTAGCAGTATCATTCACTTTAAATCCAAGAAGAAATATCATGCTTAAAGTGGTCAATTATTCTTGATATTTAATCTTAAAGTTTCACTGTAAGACGTGTCTGAAACATTCAGAATTGGAAGGCGTGAACTTATCATCATGTTCTATAAAGACAAAGGAAAATTTGTTGGGTCAGTTGTTTGAAATCACTTCTCACTATTATGTATGATTGTATAACATTTAATTAAGACATTTCTCTTTCCAAAAAAAAATCCATATGAGAACCTTGTCAAGAAACTAAATCTGAATTTGAGCGAATTGGAAAGAATAAAAGGTTTAATGAAACAATGGCACTTATGAAAAGGTAACTCTAGTAACTCTAGGTACAGCTGTTATATGTAATATTCTGTGATTTTATAAAGTGAAATTGTTTAATCATCATCATATAACTTTTACAGTTAGTGTCTTGAGAAGTGAATGTGAAACTCAAATTTTGTCATTGACTTCATATAAGGAAATATGTGAAATAGTGACTAACTTTGAACTGTTCATATGGTGCAGAATTTAATGCCTCTTCTGTGGGTAGTAATTTTTTAGAAGAACTTATGACAAGCTGTAAGTTTGTATTATGTCAAAGTGGGGTTCAACACTGTTTGCAAATAGTGCAAATAAAAGTGATCATGTTTATGCTACCAAAATACAGGCTTTGGAGGACTTTGTGTGGCAAGCTGCAGATCTGCTTGATCGTTTGGATGACCTTCAGGAGGACCTGAGCAGAAATGACTTTGCAGATGATGTGGCAGGTGCCAAGCATGGTATTGACCTGCATGCTGAAATGAAGAAGAAAATTATGAAGGCTCCAGTAGAGGATATTGACCATATTGGTCAGCGACTACTGCAGAGGTTCGTGTTTTTTTTTAATTTGCTTAGTGGGGGGTGGAGTCCAACTCGGTCCACTTGGCATGGCGGACACTGATTGGCCTATTGTAGCGTGCTCTGGGTGAATATGATGATGGAGAATTTGGTGGAATGAAGATTGGCAAGGGAAACAAAAGTACTTGGAGAAACCCCGCCCCAGTGCCACTTTGTCCACCACAGATCCCACTTGACCAGACCCGGGATAGAATCCAGGCCACTGCAGTGGGAAGCCAGCGACTAACCAGTTGAGCTATGGCATGGCCTGAGGTTCGTGTTTAGTATTCATTCTGATTGAGAAATCCATACAAATATTCAATCAGAACATCTGAAAGAAATAGAGCACTTGGGAGGTATAGGTATAGATGACAAGATAATGTTAAGGTAGATCTTATGAAAATAGGGTGTGGATTGGGTTGAGTTTGTAGGGCCCATTGGCAGGTTCTTGTGAACATGGTAATGAACTGGAAGAAGCACCTAGCCTAACTGGCATTACATATTTTAGGGTTGAGTTGTATACTGTTATAATCCATAAAATTATTTATAATCATGTATCATACACCTTATTATAAACAATGCATGGTCAATTTTTGTGTTAGTTTGTTTCATGGGTCTGTAAATGTGCCTGTTGTTAAGTATGTGTACCACAAATTTTTGGGTCTTTCCTATTGAACCTGATGCTTTGTATGTGTTCTTTATGATGTTAAGATATATGATAACAAATAACATAATGGTAATGAACCTTCAGGTTCCTTAAAAGGTAAGGTGATCTTTGACTAGCTGAATTACTATTAACATCTCAAGATGGACTATGCTTCATGGTGTTAGTAAGTCCTTTGATTACTTATGCTGTGTATAGAAAATAAATAAAATTCACAGAATTATAATCATAAAAGTATATGAATCTATGATTGGAACTGACACACAAAAACATATTACAAGATTACCTTATGCTCTTCCCACAAACTGCATGAAGTGAAACACGCAACGAAGATTGTTTGTATCCATCCTTCCATCCATACATTTCTGTGGAGCACTACATATTGGATTTATATTAAATATAGTATTTTGATCTAACTGAAAATTTAGTTTTGGTCAGTGTTGCTTGTATCTGATATCAGACTTCATAGAGTTTTAAAGAATGGCCCATCATACAAAGGACTAGTTTATGACAGAAAATATAAATGCCGGGACTTCTTGTCTGAAAATTAGTTTGTTGGGCCTACAGTGAATACTAAATGAAATGTAAGGAATAATAATTTCTGTTTGCATTCTGATGTCTGTAGTGTGATTAGCTTTGCAACGTTATGTTTGTATCTGTAATAATTGAATATCAAAGCCAGTGAAGCAATTTTTATATGCCATGAATATGGAATGTACTCAGAAAAGTAGTACATTATGTTACATAGCAGTATTGTGTCAACACAATGAAGTTTGAAAAAATAAACGTTTAATGTCTGTGGTCTGTAAAATAATCATGAAAATATTTTTGCATTATTCAATTTTATCACACTCTGTCCATTATAAATGTATTATGTACACTACAGAAGTTAAGACAGGTGAGTACTGAAGACTACAGTGTGATTGAAGGGGCTGTCTTCATTTATTTTCTTTCTTTCATATGCTAGACTCTTGTAATGAAGGTTATAGATTTAGACGGGCATTGGTATAAGTATGGGTCAATTGAAGTGTACAAACTATTCAATCAACTGATAACTTCCCATTGTTCTCAAATTATGCGTTTGCATAAAAAATGTCAAAATTTTCAAATTAGCTAGAGTCGTCAATTCTTTTATCTCCTGAAGTTATATTCCCATCGTTATTTTCCAGGTTATCAGGTGACTCAAATAGTGGCTATGACTCAGGCTACTCAGGAAGGGACAGTGAAGCCAGCTCGGTAGTAGCAAACCCAGACCTTCAGGCATCTGTACCACAGATACTGCAGAACTTAGAAGCCATCCGTACGTCCCAGCAACATCTCTTGCAGCTCTGGCACCATAAAAAGCTCAAGCTAGACCAGTGCTTCCAACTGCGGCTCTTTGAACAGGACTGTGAGAAGGTATGGAGTCTTTGCAGGAGAGGGCAAGACAAAGTAAAAGTACCTGCGTGACTTTAGTATATTATATTTGTCTCATAGAAAATCTTGTGAATGGACAGTTGACATTTCTTCTCGTCAAGTGACGAGGAAACGCCTGTGTACGTACATGTATTCTAAAACACACCAGTTTTTAAACCTGGTTTTTAATATATGAGGTGTGTTCAAAAAGTTCCTGAAATTTATCTATAAATGATATCTTTTTCTACTTCGAGCTTATTGAATATTATCCCTTTAAAAGTAGTCCCCTTATGCAGAAATGACCTTTTTCACTGCCTTTTACACTTTTGGGAGCACTGTTCAAAGGATGTTTGTGATATCGCCTTCAAGTCATTAGTCACATTAGAGGTGATGTCTTCCACTGTCTGAAATCGTCATTTAAGGGTATTTTGGGGTTTAGGGAATAGAAACAAGTTGGGAGGGGTGACATCAGGTGAATTGAGGGGTTGTGGAAGGGTAGGAATTGAAAGTTTTGCCAAGAATTGTCTAATTGACGGTGCTATGTGAGCAGGCACATTATCATGATGGAGGAGCCAGCTTCCTGTAGTCCACTTTTCTGGGCACTTTCTCCATACTCCATCCCACAGTCATCTCAGAAGTGCTAGTTAAAAATCTTGATTAATTGTCTGACCTTCAGGACTAAATTCATAATTCATGATGCCTTCATGATTGCAAAAACAAGCACCACTGCTTTCACTTGCGAGTGCACCTGTCATGCTTTGAAGCAGGCCTCTTCCAGTGTGAGGATTGTTGTTTGGTTTCAATATCACACCTGTAAACCCACATCTCATCACCACTAATGACATATTTCAAAAGACGTTTGTCGTCATTTGCTCTTTGGAGGAGATGTTGGAGATCATCTTGGCATAAATTTTGCTAAGACCCAGTACATTCCTAAATGTTCCATTAAAGTTCTGTGGTATGGATAGCTCTAAGCTTCATGCAACCTGTGGGTTTCTGAAACTGTTCTCCTTACTTTGAACAGAATTTAACACAGATTTGTTCCCTTACTGACTCCATACTGAACACGGACAGACGAACACTAAATCACAATACCAGTTATAAAAACTGAGCAGAACATCTGATCTGCTTGGAACAAAATGAACTGCATAATTAATGGTCAGATTGCAAGGTCACTGAAACAGCACCTAATGTGACCAATGAACTGCTGCTCTGCTCTGTCATCTTGGGAACCGTTTGAATGAAAATCGTACATCACAGCATTTGGGGTGTTTACAGTACCCCAAGATATTTGATAATTCTAAGCATGAATAGTTTGCAACGGTGTCTTTAGACAAGATAAGTATATTTGTTACAGTTATTCTGAAGGTTATATTAGAAAAGCGTTATTTTCAATTAAATACTGTAACATAAAATGTGGTAACGGTATTCCAAAAGTAGAAGAGTCAATGTGTGACAGCAAAAGTCTCTGGGTATGAACATTTTGTGGCATTAAACAAAGTATGAACATAGTGATAGGTTTATATTATCCCAGCAAATGTGGTGTGCTTGGAAAACTTGGTAATGTGTCCTTGAAATATGTAGACCTGTTTCTACTGTTATTATTTTCTTTTCATTTATCAGCGTACATATCACGAAAATTCTGCATTTGAGAAAGTAGTTTTTAGGCAGTAGCGCTTTACACAGACAGTGGGATTAAGTTTGTAACTTGTAACTGTTTTCTAACAGGGCGTGCAGTAGTGTAGTTGATTGAGGCACTGTGCTGTAAGTTGGAAGGTTGCGGATTCGAGTCCTGATGCGGTGGATTTTTCAATTTATCTAATCCATCTAGCTGCACTATTCCCTGGGATGACTCAGCCTCTAACAGAGGAGGAATCTTCCTGGGGGGTGAAGGACAGCTGGCATGTAAGGCTGACAACCTTGCTGCCATCTGTGAGCCAGTTGTCTAAAGAAAATCTGGGAGCCTTAACATCTCACAATGCTATGGGCCTTCAGGACCTGTTGCAGGGATAGCTTTATCTTTTTTTTTTACAGCTCTTAACTGTTTTCTTTTGTCAGTATCTTTTCTTGCATCTAAGAGCGATCACCTCAGATGCATATACATTTTAAGATCCATTTGTTCCAGATGTTTGATTGGATTTGCCATAATCGTGATGTGTTCCTAATGAATTATGTGGAGATAGGACATTCCTATCAAGTGGCCAAAGAACTTCAGGAAGAACACAACCACTTTACTATGAGTTCTAGAGTAAGTTCTGAATGACTTCTTTTTAAGTACACATTTTGAGACATCCTGTACCTGTGTAAGGCCTGAATGTCCTAATTTATGTTTTATCTTGATTTCCAGAATGTTTATGTTAATATCAATCGCATCTTGACAGTAGCATCTAGATTAATTGAGAGCAATCATTATGCTGCTCAGCATATCCGAACAGTAGCTGCTCGGCTAGACAGGACATGGAAAGAGTTTGCTGCTGGTCTTGATGAACGCACCTCTGTGTTAGCTCTTTCTGTTCTGTTTCATCATAAAGCAGAACAGGTGAGCATGAGCCACTGCTTTTTTATTTCAGTGCTTTCCAGTTGCTCTACAAGTATGTATCAGTGCTTCCCAAACTTTGTCACTCACATATTCCTTCCTTAAAAAATAATATTTTATGAACCCCACCTAAAGTGTTACTTCATCTAGGAATTCCCCGTTTATATGTCCCATTTCTCCATCCGGATATCATCTTGACCAGGCTGTTATATGAACATTTTTATAAGGTACTGCACAAATAAATATGTTTATATTCAAGTAGTAAGTGTCCAGAAACAGTTTTCAGAAGACTTTTTTCATACTGTCGTATTTCTCAATGAGTTATAGCTGAAAAACTTGGTCTAGTCCCCCCCAAAAACATTAAAATGGTTACTCTGTGTACAAATCCATTTTCAATTGTTTTTCAGTATGTAGAGAATGTATCGAACTGGAAACAGGCTTGTGAAAATATGAGTATCCCAAGTGAAATATTGATCCTAGAAACTGCAATTCATCAGCATCAAAATCTGTATGAGTCCATGTGCCAAGCATACACTGAAGTGAGTAGACTGTATCACATGAATGTTTGGATATCTCATTGCATCCAGACCCTCACTGTTTCTCCTTACAATTCATGTAGCAAGTATTCAGCTACCATAATCCCTGTGTTTGTAGAAATCTGTAAAATGTAATTGATATAGTGCTTTAAAATATATTATATTTTTTAATGTTGTTTCATCCAAGTCTTAAAGACAAGTAAATGAAGCAACAAATAAAATCAGTGATCACTGGAGATAGTGGCTTCATTGATGCTTTGTTTAGAATAATATGAGTCTTTATAATTTGAAGGTACAGTATTCTTACTTGGTTAAATACAGGTCACATTTGCATCAGTATTACTATAAGCAGAATAGAACCAATAAGTATTTTCAGTACTTTGGTTTTATTGACAAAATTAAATGAGGCTAGAATATTTGAGAAACTGTGTACTCTTAGGAAATTCACTTCATTCTGTTTACTATTGAAATAATTTTGCGATTTTGTAACCAGTTTCATGTGTTTAAATTCCACTTATTCTGCGCTCTGCATCTCCCTTCTTCCCCATCTGTTTCTCCTGTATTGCCTCATTGTCGCCTTTTTTTTTCTGATCCACTAGTACCAGATCTATCCTGGAGAGTGCACCTTTGTTTCATGTTCCACTGTGTATTTGGATACTTGTTTACATATTGCTATACTCTGCTTAATATTATGTTTCTGAAGCAACAGTGTTCAGAACAAAGTTTGTATATTGTTATATTTTAAATTGTAACACCATGGTATTTTGTATGTACTTGTAGGACTGTTTGGTTCCAGATGGAAAATTATCAAAGGCAAGCTGATAATTCTTCCTCTCTTGTGTGTTACATTTTTTCTTTAATTAGCAATATTAGGTAAAGTGAATTATGTTCCCAGTTTTGATTGTTTGCATAATGTAGGATTATTACTTTATATCTTGGCACAGATCTGTACCTTTGAATAGCACCCAACTTGTATTATGTTTTATATTGCCACACCTTCCTTCCATTTTCTGTGATCCTTCCTGTTCAGAAGGAATGGTGCTTTGCTTGTTACTGCACCGAATGTTCCGTCATGTTGAGACAATACCCTACTCCTCTGTGGCATTGGGCTTTGCCTGAGTAGTCTGTTGATGCAAGTGCAATGTTCAAAGTGCATAGCCAGCCAACATTCCTGCTGCTGCTGATGGTGTTGATGCTGCCACATTGGTACTGCCCACTATTTGTGTATATGCCTATGAGTGTTTGTATGTTTGGTTGTTCTTACAGGTGTATAATTCCTACCAGGCTCTACTCAGTGGCCTTGATATCATGGTCCAAATGTGCCACTGTTTCCCAGTGATGGGAACTGCCAGGGATTGTATTTTCAGCAACAATGTATGCCAATATTTCATTTTATGATGATTAACTCACAAGAAGTTGGGTTTTTAATCTACCTCCTTTCTTTCTTACAGTCTTCAGTTTGGTGGAAATCTTTTAGAAATTGATTGGAAGGTTGTGGTGTTTTGGGCAGTGGGTTATATAACTTGTACCATGGCAGGCATGTAATATCAGTTAAAAGCAAAAATTTACATACCCCTGTAAAATAAAAATCTTGTGATATATTGAATGTGGGCTGGCCGATCAGAAAATAGATAAATTTCAAGTTAAAAATCCTACCAATTATGGTGGACAAAGTGGTGCTGGAGTAGGTTTTTCTCCAAGTACTTCAGTTTCTTCTGCCAATTCTCATTTCATCATCTATCCACATTCATTGATCATCTCTTCATTGACAATATACAGTCCAGACACTGACAGCATCATTAAATAACAGACTTAGGGAAAAATATTGAACTGTGTTTTGTGTATTGTGACAGTTGTTTATGATAGTGTAAACAGAAATACATGCAGTTACTATCAAAGAGTTGAAGGAAGTATAGATATAAATTCTCTTGGAACTCAGCAGTGGTTAATGTTTATGCAGGACATTTTTCAGTGAGAATTTGTAACTAAATTAGAAAGAGACTTCTCTGATCAGTATCCAGCCAAGTGCTGAGTCAGAGTTGAACCTCCAGACTGAGGATCAAGGATGTGATAATGTGCTGCCTGGTACCCTAACAGGGCTGTCACACACCTCTTGACAGATGAGTATGAGCAATTGTGGAATGATGTTTAGCAGGGGAAAACCAAAGGAACTCAGAGAAAACCCTCCCCGGTGTTACTTCATCCACCATGAATCTCTCATGAAGTCACCAGGAACGAACCCAGACCTCTGTAACTGGAAACCTGAATCTAACTCCCTGAGATTTTTAATTAAATATTTCTTTCCCATTTCCTTTATATTGCATTGCATTCACAAGAAATTCAGTTTTGTGCAGTATTATTATGAAAACTGTCTAGCAATTTTTGTTTTTTAAATTGCTAGTGTGTCAAAGTTAGAATGCTTCATTTCTTCAGACAGATTATTAGAACAGTGAAGTAGCTTTCTCAGTTCCACCATATGACTGAGACATGTTGTGATTCCATTTTTGAAAACAGTATTCAGACATCTATTACCTAATGGAGCTAAAGTTGTGATTTTTTTTTAATTGACACTGTTAGTGCTGTTGTTCAGCTGTCCTACATTTTAATCTGAATATCACAGAAACAGTAACAGCTTGTGAGGTGGGCCAATGAGAGAGCCATGTATAAAATTTGAACCCTAAAAATTCAGAACCACTGCATAAAACTCCATGTACCACTCTTACTTTGTTAATGGCGGTGGAATGTATAAAGTATCTGATTATAGAGCCATGTACTAATAAGGTGTTGGGTCCTCCACAGGTTCATAGTACTAGCAAAAAACTGCTCTATCAACTCGATCACCTGGTTCAGATCTGTAACCAGCCCGGGATGGAACAGACTACTCGCAAACATGTAGGCAAATCTTTCTCTCTTACTGCAATGTGAAGGCCACTGCACATGGAACTCTCACCTGTATGCTACTACTTGCGATTAGGTTGCTCTATACTTTTTGGCAAGGGATTAATATTATTAATGGATGGTCCTAATTCCACATCTAAATTGATGTAAAAGTGATGTGTTTTGTGCTCTGGTCTTCTCATTATTGCTGGGATCTATCTATTAATATCATCTATCTTTTCTCATACACCAGATTCAGATTGTTGGTATGCATGACAGTAAAGTAACAGTCTTTTATTTTGCTAGTATCTGTACAAAATTTCTAATGTCTGTTTTTAACAGTTTTCTCTTAGCTTATTCTCAATCTTACAAATTTGTGAAATGGTGAAAGTATTGAAACAAATTGGGCTAGCCTATGAATAGTTAACAATTAGTAATTGATAATTTATTTAACATCCATAACTGTTACACAGGCACAGTTAGACAAGTCAGTTGAAAACAAACTCACACATGTTGACAACTCTTAAAAAATATACGAAAGTATACAAGACATTGTACAATACAGTACATTTTTGAACAGTATCACCTTGCTATAACTTACAAACCATGGATGACAACTTCCAGAAATTCAGTATAAAGCAATAAATATACGAGTACTTAAAACATCAAAAACACAAATCAGCCATGTAAAACAAAGCATGACACATTTAGTGAAGATAACAGTCCAAAGACCATCTATATACTTCAATATCATATCGATACTAACTCTAATTACCGAACTTCCACCTGTCATTGTTAGTAAAAAACCCTTGTAGAGAATAAAAACAGTTTAGTAATAAATAACTTTTTAATTTATTTTTAAAAACCTTACAATTTTTTTAATCTTTTTAATTTGAAGGGTAAGTTCTTATGTGTTTTAATCCCATGTTAATTACACCTTTTCTATGATTAGCAGTGTTGCATAATTGGACATACAAATCCTGTTTCCCTTTTGTGTTAAACTTATGAATGTCGGAATATTGAGTGAGATTGATCTTATTCTTTTTTATAAAGCACAAGATCTGAAATGTATGTAATGAAGTTACAGTTAAAATCTTAAAATCACCAAACAAACTTCTACAAGACACTCTGTTTTTAACTCCTTTATTAAGTCTTAGACCTTTTTCTGTACTTTAAATATTGCATTACTGTCATATGACACGACTCCTAAACNCCCCAAATATAATACCATATTTTAATATAGATCCAAATTTTGTAAAATAAACATTTCTCAATACAGGTATGCTTACTGAGTCATGTAAGGATTTAATCAAATAAAGAGCTTTGTCTAATTTTTGAAAAGTTATTGTATATGAGTGGCCCAGCTTAAGTTTTCTGTGATACAAGTACCTAAAATTTTTAAATTTGATAAATACGTTATTTCTTTGTTATTTAAATACAGAACAGGTCTATGAATTAAACTAGATCCTCTTCCCTAAAGTAGCACTGCTTTGGTCTTTTCCACATTTATTGTAAGGTTATTTGTCAAGAACCAATATTCTAATTGTTTCATAACTTTTATGATGTTCCTTTTTAATGATATGAGATTTCTCTCAATGAGTAATATATTTGTGTCATCCGCAAATAACACCACCTTTGCTTCTTGAACACCTTTGGGGCAAATCATTTATAAACAAAAAAGAACAAAAGTGGTCCAAAAAGAGTTTATTTAGGTTATAGGTATAGTTTATGATTGACTGTGTGTGTATATTATGCTGCTAATGTAATTGTCAGCTCTCACATACATCTAGTGTCAGCAGCTATCTGAAGGATAGAGGTGAAATTTAATTCATTATTTTAACAAAATACAGATCAGAATTGGAAAAGATCGGACATTAATTCATTATTTTAACAAAATACAGATCAGAATTGGAAAAGATCGGACAATAGGACTGACATTGAGGGGAATGGAGAAGGCATATGAAAGAATGGTGGGAAGGAGATATAGTTGAGAAAGGATTCCCAATTGAATTTTAGTAGGCCTTGTTTACTAGTATATATACAAAATTTTAGGTTAAATTTTAAGTATTAAACATTTCAGTATCTATATATCCCTGCAAGTGAAACCACTCTTCAACAGAAAAGAATGTCAATTATGGATTGATCTCGCCTGCAGTGACGAACTATAGGAAGCAACTGCAAAAATGAATCCTGCTAGTTGGATCGCACAGCTGCAGGGCATGTGTGGATTACTGTTGTTTTATAGGGTCTGAGCTTCAGCAAATTTGTTGCCTTTTTTGCACTAGATTTTGACACTTCAGTCTCAGCTAGAGGTTTCAGTGATTTTCTAGGTGTATGTCGAAGTCTGGCCCCTGTGACATCTTACTTGTCAGTAAGCACTTGGTGCTTATGTTTGTGTTTCTTCTGTATTAAGAGTCCCATTGGTCTAAATTTACACACCAAATTATGAATTGTTTGTCTGCTTGGAACTCTTTCATCATAAAATTTACTTTGAAATATTTGCCAACACTTCGTAGTAGATCCATAGTTCACATAGGTATCGTACAGAAATACATGTTACTCTAAAGTGTACTGCAACATGACATACCACACTGCTCATTAGCTGTAATGGAGATGATAACTGCTGCCTACTTCTGATAAATCATAAACAAACTCCCATTCATGAACTGCACTGCTCACCATGAAACATAATGCCATCAAACAGTTCACAAGTTAATTACTTCCCTTCATTCCAAACATTATTGGGCATCAGGCATGCAGATTTATCAGCAAAATTCATGTGTGCTTTGCAGCCGACGGTGCACTAGTTAATGTGAAGTGCAGAGCCATGAACTGGTCAACAAAGTTCAAAAATCCCTCTGTATTAAGGAAATGGTTAAGTACCATTATGAAAAGCAGTGATAAATAAGAGCTCAGTATATTTCAGTTGAAGTAGGAAAACACCTTTTTAACAAATGTTGCAAATTGTTGAAATCCAAATTAGTGGGACCTTTTTTTTTTGTGCAGTTCTGTATTGAGAGAAACCTAAATACAAGTGGATCAATAATATTTTATATTGCAAGTTCATTCAACTAAATATCATGGTTAGGTCCCACTTCATTTTTGGACAGTGCTAGGTTGAAATCTTTGATCAGAGACTCTCTATCATGGTTTTCTTCAGTTCTTACAAGCAAATGCCAAGATAATACCTTAAATTATGACACAACTGCTTCTGACCTCATCATTTCTAATTCATATTCACCAGTCCTGTTTTTCGATACTATAATCTTAGCAATTGAAAACAACTTTAAGTTGAGCAAAAATATAAAGATATTCACAGATAGTTGTTATAATGTTCTACAATATGAATTCATGGATTTTACTACAATAATTTAACTGTTGGCATAAGTATGCACTCTTTAATTGATGATGGTTTAAGAAATTGATGGTCATGATAAGCAAAAAGTGGAGAAGTGAGGGTTTGCAAAATCTGCCACCCTAGGTGGCCACTTGGTTTGCCTGTGCTATTGTGCAAGCCCTAGCTAGGAAAAAGGACACCAGGGTTTTATTTCACTAACACTAAAGTAGTGAGACCATGAAACATGCTAGAATAAGGTGCATTAGGAATGTTATTGGAATCACGCTTCAAAAGCTTGAACATAAGGTTTCAGACTTTGAAGCATGACAGTTCTGTACTCCAGAACTATTAAAAATTTGTGCTTATGAATTTAAAATTAGATGACAATACTTTTAAAGATGCTCAAAAATGTTCTGCTTATGCTCACGTTACAAAGTCCTGATTTAAACCTCACATGTAAATCCCATGTTAGAACAGGGATCCATGGAAGCATTGACAAAAAGAAGACATTAGATTTATATTTACATTTGTAACAGTGGCAGTGTAGATCCTAAGGAAGTGAGGACAGACAATTATATCAATACCAGACATTTTCCTTATATATATATATATATATATGCAACAATATCTTCCCAAAGCAAGGTAGAATCTTACTGAAATATCCCATCTTATTCTTGTGGCATTAATGTAAAATTTTCTCCTCCTGTAATTGGATTTCTTGTAATTTCTGATAAATTTGTTCTCTATTGAAAAGTTTAAAGAAATTATTTTAAGAACATTATCTAAAAATATTTTAATATAGCACATTTTAATACTTGAATATTGCACTTTTTGTTTAAGAACTCGAGAAGAAAGCCAAAGGGTCACGCATCAGTAAGTGTGGGTTATTGTACTGTCCTGCCAGTGTGATGTGTTTTTGTGTGTCATGTTGGTAGTTCTGAACTTCCTGAATGGGACAGACAGTATACGCATTATTGTTGCCTCCTTGTTTTACTCTCGTAGGCTTTGTTAGCAGAGTTTACTTAGTGCTTTGTTTACACAACTGCACTTCTTCATTAGGAAGAATGCTGACTTGTCTTTTTCTTTCTTAGTCCTTACTAGACCTAATGATTTTGTCAGGATATTTTCTGCTATACTGCAGCAGCGAAAGCTGTTGCCATCTCATTTTACAGATGATATCTAAACTCACTTAGTAGATTCTTTCATATTCCAGTTAATATTCTATTCCATTGTCACACCATGAACTTTTGAATAGGTAAGTAGATAATGGTGTGTGGTAAGAGTAACTTCTTTAGTCTGTGGATGTACTTACATGGAAGATACTGTAGAGACTTTAACATTTTGTAACACTTCTGACTTAGTATTCCAGGATTCATGATATCTCTTGACATTGGAGATGTTCTTGCTTGTAGCAAAGTAGCCATTCAAATATGTGTGATGTTTCCCAGTTAGAGAAATCACTACAGCACATGCTGAGTCACGGTCTGTTACAGTCTTCAGTAGGCATTGCTAGGTTATGCCTGCTAACCATGGAGGTTCTTCATGGCCAGCCACGAACTGCCTATTCTCACTTATAGTTCACGAACCTTACTCACCAATCGCCGACTCAAGTCCGACTAACTTTTCCTGATGGCCTTCACTAAGTAGCCTCAACATAGACCTTGCAGAAAACACCATGTTGCCTAGCAATAGCCCTCTTGTTTGCTGACATGGGAGCATGTTTACTGGCTGGTACCTAGCAACAGCTTTTTCTCCAAGCTCTGCTGTTCCATCTTCCAGCCATTATGTCACAATATATTTTTCTCCAAAACAATCAGGAAAAGACATCAAGAGGTCAGTATGCTGCTGTTCTCATGCCCTCTAGAAGAGCATTTGCTTTCTAAACAGAACAACAAATCTAGATGATTTTGAGAAATATTTGTAGAGAACCATGTATGAATTTTGTGACAGAGGATGATTTCCACCTGGGAAAAACAGTACTTCCTCTGCAGAAAGAGTCATGATGTAAAGATCCACGTTCTTTTTTTTTTACTTTGCGGTTGCAGCACAATCGATATTTCTTTAATATTACACAGTGTTAAGGAACTGGCTAATACATGGCTGTTGTCTTACTTGGATGAAATATGAGTAAAGAGAAACAGTAACACAGATCCTGAAAGATTCCACCAGAAATTAGAGACTTCATGTTACTGTAGATGCTGGCAGTAATGACAAAGCGTTAGCTATTCTTGTGGATTAAAACGGAAATCATTGTCATTGTATGTCTGAATAATCTGTTGTATAGACCTACATATTAATTAAGCTCATCTCTTAAGATACAGATATTAATCTCTCCTTTGTCAGAATTTTCTGTTAGAGTGCAGCTGTTCTGACATGTGAGTGCTGGCAACAATACTGAAACTATCATTGGCTGTTGCCAAATGTCAAGAGATATGAATCCATATATAGTTACTTTCTCTTTCAATCAGAACCAAAGAAATTTTGTTGATAAACTCAGCAGAATGTTCTACTTGGAATTAAAATAGAGGGCTCATTTTAATAATTGCTTGAACTTCAGTCAGTAACATTCTAAAGTATGGACCCATGAGTAATACTTGAAAGGAGAGGGTAAGATGTGATAAATTAATTACTAAAAAGAGGTACCAATAAGTGCCTTGAAGAGTATATCAGTTTGAAATAAAATTTTATTAGACATTTTCAAAAACTGCTCCATATGTCCCCAAAAGTTTTCATGCTGCTTGATGTTTCTCTTATTAATCTCTTTAACTTTTGTCTGAAACTTTTTTCCATTTAGTAGACATTTAGTAATATAAAATGTGGATGATGATTTTGAAAGGTCTGAAAGTATAATTTTAGTACTGGTACCAACCTCTGCCTGCTGATATGTGATTTTTAATATTTCTTTACAATATAGTGACAATTTTCATAAAGCTTGTAAATATGAAAGCATTTTTCTTCTATATGACACAAAGAATAACTGTATTTATCTGCACTTGTACTCATTGGAAAATTTATTCACCTTCTAATAGAGCAAAACTCAGTATGCCATTCTCTATAACTTTTCTGTACTGTGAAGAAGAATTGCATTTGTGCTTAAATAAATACATTATTTCCTTACTGACTGGAATATTGTCTCAAATTTAGGTCAGTTAGCAACAATTTTCCTAGAATATGCAATAGATACCTAACTTCATCTCTATTTTTTTGTGTTATTGAACATAGGAAATGGGCACAGAGTAACTCATACCTTTGGAATTCAAGTTTTAACTGAGCTTTTGTGACATCTCTGTGCAACATCATTTCACTATTCTTTCTTCATATTCCTTTTAAATATTTATCCTAAACTATACAGTATACTTCAAAGGAATACAGACAACAAATGAATTCAGTAAACACTTTGTAACATAAGTAGCTGCTAAGTAGTTCAGAGTAAGGTAGTAAGAAGAAAGCAGATCATGTATCAGGGGAAAGATTTATATTCTCACAAGCAGTCGTCAGAAAGGAGATAAAGTATTTGCATAGAGGTAAACATTTCAGACACTCTTCCATAATATAGCATGCAGTTTTACACGTGTTATTGTAATTATTCATTATGCTGAATCAATGAGTAATCTCATTGTATATGTGTCTTATTTTAATTACAATTCATTGTCAAGGCAGTAAAAATCTCCGTAATATTTTTCGAGAGGTAGCATGAGTTTTCTTGAGTTATGATGATGTAAAACTGAGGATCAAAGCAGCTCGCTTCTGAGTGTATTACATCTTGCCTAATGTACTTCTATTCTGACAGATTTCAGAAAATTGTAAAACCACTAGTGCTAATCATTTCAGGTCACAGTAGATGGGCAGGTGGTATATGAAGCAACAGGCCGTCAGACGGGTAATCCTGCTGCAGATTACTCTGAGGGTGCTAGTCATGTTCTGGCAGTGATCCATCAGATTCTGAACCACCATCGAACTCTTGAACAAAAATGGCATGCCAAGAAAATCAAGCTTCATCAGCGACTGGCTCTTCGTCTCTTCCAGGAGGATGTCAAGCAGGTATGAACTGCTGCAGATATTTGGTTACAGTTTTGTGCCTTCAACTAACATAAGCTGCATTGTGGACAAAAATGTAAATGAGGGAAATATGAACGAACAACTTTTTTACCTTCTGAAACTCACACTTTGCTGCAAATATGTCTTTGGCTTCTTTTTCTTTTTCAATCCGCATTTTCACAGGAATGATGAGCTTATGTTATCAGCATGCCATGTTTGTCCTTCCCTTCTCATTAATAAGTTTTGAATCAACTGATATATTTTCATGAAGGTTGGCATGAATATTAGAAGCACTTTACCCTTGTACTCTATTATTTGAATTGAATTGAATTTATTTACATTCTATAAATCCTAAGCAGGTTAGTACCTTTGGATACAGAACATGTCAAAAGGTTACATACATAAGTACAGTCAATTTTTAGCTTAAAAATTAATATAACTTAATTTTACATCATTCTCTATTTACATTGAAGTATTCATCTAAAGAGTAGAAGGAATGAGCATGTAGATAATTCTTTAACTCTGATTTAAACTTTTTAGTATCATTGCCCAAGTTTTTAATACTTTGTGGCAGATTGTTGAACACTTTTATGCCAGTAAAGTAGACTCCTTTTTGATATACTGATAAAGTTGATGAGGGTAGGTGGAAGTTATATTTTTGTCTAGTATTCATGTTATAGACATCAGAATTTAATTTGAATTTATCTTTGTTGTAAACAACAAATAGGAGAAGCGATAATATGTATTGCGATTGAAGCGGTAGAATTTTTAATTTCTTAAATAATTCTCTACATGAATCTCTACTTCTACATCCTGTAATGATTCTTATTATATTCTTTTGTATTTTAAAAATTATTACACTATGTGAAGAGTTCCCCCAAAATATTAATCCATAGTTCATAATAGAATGAAAGTAGGCATGGTAAACCATCTTCAATGTTTCCTGTGACATAAAAGGCTTAATTGATCTCATCGCATAGCAAGCTGCATTTAATTTAGGTATAATTTGTTCAATATGTATTTTCCAAGACAGTGTACTGTCTACATGTATTCCAAGGAATTTTGTATCAAGTACTTTACAGATTAATTTGTTGGCATAACTGATGTCCAGATCAATTTGGTGGTTGTTTTTAGTTGTGAATGATATGTAATGGGTTTTATCAAAATTTAATGAGAGTAAATTGGCTTCGAACCATCTGTTTAAGGTTTCAAATACAATATTTATGTCATAGGATGCTGGGACCACTTAATGTATGATCTTAACTTTTTGTATGAGTCAGTAATATATCTTTAGGGAAATAGTTTCTTTTTGTACAGTTTGTTTTGTATTGTTGTATGTGAAGTAAAAACATGATAGCAAACAAATTTAGTCTCAAATAATTTTTCAGCCAAGATATTCTTAAATGTTATCTTGGTTATGGTTTCCATGGCGATACAGATTTATATTGTGATCTTCCAGGTTGTGACACTGCATGGTATAGTAGGTCGTTACCAGCATTTTGGAAGAGCATATTGCTTCTATCTTCAGGGTAAACTTAAACCTCCAGTTCTCTATGGCCTGTTCCACCACCTTTCCTGATTTGGCTCACTTCTGCCCTGAAGAAGCATGCAGTGTGTTCCTCAAAAAACATTGGTAAACACATACTAAACCACAGCAAAAATAAAATTTTTGTTTAATGACGTCTGTGTATGTTTGTTCTCCTTTTTTTTTTTTTTCTTATGGTGTTAAATTTTTGTTCATTAATTTATAAATTTTGTACACATATTGTGATGCAGTCTTGTGGGTGGATACAAGTGTTTCCATGAAAAGTACTGCCTCTCTCTTCAAGATAGCAATGAGCCAAGTTGGGAAAGTATTAGGTTATATAGTTGGGTGGGGGGTGGGTGGGGGAGAAACAGGAGTGAACAGTCAGGGCCACAGAGAGGGACATTGCTACTCAGCTGTGAGACTGTCATGCAGTGCATTTTAATATAATGCTTAGTGTTTTTAAAAAATGGCAGATATGTTTCATTTTTAATTATCTTGATGTTCATTTAAAACTTACTCCATGGGGCGGAGTCCGTCTTGAGAAGCTAGCACTTGATCATCTAGTAAAGATGCTTTCCACATTTTCTAGAACCGATGTGTTTATTATTGTGTTTTCAGTGGCCTAGGTGTTCATTTATTGATAACACATCTGTTAAATGTGTACACAAATCATTTTTCCCAACCACCAATAAACTCTTCCTCCACCATCATGAAACCAAAAATCAACTGAATTAATTTGTGAATAATGTGCTTTCAGCCTACAGACAATGTGTAGAAATGTAGTGATATAACTCAGTTCAGTTTTAGCAGTGATCAACATTATTGCGAAGTTATTTGCACTGCACAGAGTGACTCACAAATGCCTTTCCTTGTGCACTGTTTTGTTAAATAATCACTGTATTGAAAAATGTATAATTAAAGTTGTTAATCTTAATTATATCTATATTGTCATGCACAGGGGTCGCTTATAAGATGGGTTTTGGATTGGATGATTGGATTTATTGCACCTTATACATTCATACAGTTCGGGATTACAGTCAGTACAGCGCTATTGCTATTATATACGCTTTCCAGCTCACTGTTACACCCCCCACTAGGGTTCTCAGTCTTCACTAGTTGTATCCTGGCAGCAGTCTCACTATAGCTTCAAATCACATGTGAAGTCTTCTTGTCACAGTCTAATTCCCTTCTTGCCATTATTCTGCAGCTGCCAATTCTGGAGACTCGACTCAATTCAATTACAAGCTCATATCCTGGCAGGCTAGCATCCCAAAACTTGACTCTTCACTCTCGACTACTCTTCTGTACTCGACTATACTACTGTGCTCTGTTAGTACCTGACTGCTCTGCTTAGTCATGTCCAGTCAAAGGCAAAGTCACATTACAACTGACAGTCAGTTAGTCAATCAGTCTTGGTGTCAAGACCAATCTGGGGCTCATGACCAGATATTTATTACTGTTTGACAGTTCAGGTCTTGTTATTGTGGGGCACCCTCTCTGACAAGAGGATGGGTCTGTCTTTTGTCAGAGTCATTGTCTGTAGTAGTAAGTCATTTGTCATAATGTAAAGGAAAAATACATTTTACATGTAAGATTTGAGGCTTTCACGGCGGTGACTATGAAGAATGCAGTCTTCTGGGATTTGGCACCGTGTATATGTGGTGTTAACCGACGTTTCGGAGGAACGTATCGCCCCCATCTTCAGGGTTGAAGGAAAAGTATAAGTAAATCTGCAAGCGACAACACCGTGAGACACGATAAAGCAGACAGTCTGCTTTATCGTGTCTCACGGTGTTGTCGCTTGCAGATTTACTTATACTTTTTCTTCAACCCTGAAGATGGGGGCGATACGTTCCTCCGAAACGTCGGTTAACACCACATATACACGGTGCCAAATCCCAGAAGACTGCATTCTACATTTTACATGTTAAATGTGATGATAAATGTATTAAACTTATACAGGGCCTCTGTCAGTCCAGGCTCAGTACAGCAGATTATGCCCTATTTCTAGTAGCTTCTGCTAGAACAGCAGTCTAGTCACTTGAATGGTAGTATCCTTGACCACCTTCAAGTTTAAGCCTCTTATACTTTCTACGTTGGACTTTGCCTTGTCCAATATTGCAGACATTTTCGTTATCATGATTTTGTATGACTTCCACTAATTTTGTTATATAATCATATATATATGCAATTTTGAAAGCCATGTGTAAATTGTGAACCATTATGTGCCTTGGAATAGTCATGTCTTCTGACTGTGTTCTTTTATAACCCCTCGGCACAGACCGCACAGAAACACGGCCACCATTGTTGATGAGGTGTGTTTATCTCACCATTGCCTAGCAATAGACGTCCCATTTTCGCACGCATTACCTCGTGCGGGAATGTGTTTACCAAGTCATTGCCCAGCAGTGGGTATACATATCACATTATTTTATGTCTTGTGCAAATTTTCAAAACTGCAAAACTTTGTTGTAGAAAAAAAAGGTAAAGTTTGATTTCATCTTCCAGGATTGTATTTGTCCAATAGAAACCAAAATTAAATTTACTGGACAACTTTTAGTGCAGACCTTGAAAACCAGATATTATTAAAATCTAGTTACAGTTTTTGGAAGAAAATTAATATGACCATCCAGTGAAGTGAATCAATTTTGTTGTCCCAATTCAGGTTCTTGACTGGCTAGCAAACCATGGTGAAGTTTTCTTGAGGAAGAACATTGGAATTGGAAGAAATCTGCAGAAAGCACGAGTCTACCAAAAGAGCCATGAACACTTTGAAAATGTTGCCCAAGTAAGTATTGATATTGTTTTGATTTCTATAAATAATTATCTGGTTTGGGTGATCTTCAATTGAAATATAGAATGTTATTATAGAAATCACAGAAGGTGAACTTTGACATGTATCACAGAATTTGTTACACTAATATGTAATATACTTGAGTGTTGGAGAACAAACTCATCGGCAGCTGTTGCAAAGTGAAGTGGTGTTTCATGAATATTGATGGATCTACATTAGTTCATGCAGTAGTCTGGTTTTTTAAGGGTGGCAAAAATCTGTAACACAACTTCCTTTAAAATGAAGTAAAGCCAGTGGCCATACATTTATGACATGTGAAAGAACCTTTCATTCACAATTGAGATGAGTGAAGGCAAAAGTAGATACCATTTTTGGTCACCCATAAAGCTCCCTATGTTATACCTAGATGCCACTGCAATCACATGATTGCCGGACCTCTGGCAGGCAAGAGTGGAAGCAACTTGAGATCACCCAAGCCACGCTGGGTAACATAACTTGCCCAAGTGTGTCCAAATAGAAAATTAGTTATGGATGCACCAACCAGTTGATAGAAGCACCAGTGATGTATTTTTGTCTACAAGTCACATCAACTGTTCTCTTCTAGTACAGTATTATAGGAGACATCTTCTAACTTCGAAGTAAGGCGGTTAGTCGGTGGCTTTCCACCGCGGCAGCCTGGGTTCGATCCCGGGTCTGGTCAAGTGGGATTTGTGGTGGACAAAGTGGTGCTGGGGCAGGTTTTCTCTGAGTACTTCAGTTTCCCCTGCCAATCTTCATTCCACCAATTGCTCCACAATCAGCCTCACCTATCATCTGGGGCTGGTACAATAGGCCAGAAGTGGCTGCAGTATGAGGGACTTAGTCCCACCGCACTAGCAATAAAAAAGAACTTCGACGTAAACTGAAGATTGCCCTATTTATTGTAAAACCCACCATGACAGCATGCCATTGGCTTAAGAATAATTGATAATATTGTCGCGTGTTTCGCGTATAACGCGACAAATAACTTCACGCCATATTTGATATAGCGAATTTTATTTCACATTCGCACTTACAATCACACACTTGACAGTTTTAGAACTACTGCTATCTGAAGTATCACAAATACTACACTCCAAATGCCACAATACAACTGACTGGTTGCTGGCTAACTCGGAACTAACTCGGAGGTAGCTCGAGGACTGACTCGGAGGTAGCTCGAGGACTGACTGTGAATAGCCTTCGCTGCTCCTTATGTAGCCTCGGTCCGGACCATTGTCATCTGGTGCCGTGTTGCTAGCCACGCTGTCCGGAGTTGTTGACTGCTGCCTAGCAACTGCGATATCCCTCGGTGACGTCACCGCTGTTGACTCGCTTTGTATAGCTTCAAGGTTGCGGGGACTCGGCTAACATCGGCTCCGCTCATGACGTCACCGCGGGGAGAGTTGCGGGGTGATTACTCGCCTATTACGCGAGCGCTACGTTACCGCTACGTGCAGCTGGGGAGGTAGGGGTCAACATGTCACAATATTTATGTTAACATTATGCATTCCATGATATTACTTACCGTAAATAATGGCAAATGCTGGAAACAGATTATGCTTGATACTTGGCGAAAATGTGAGTGAATTTTTTTTTGTGCATATCCCAAAATTGATAATGATGTGTGCACAGCACAGATACATTACAGAAATTCTCATACAATGCATTAAAAACTTAAGAGAGCAGGAATATATGTTCTATCTGCAAGCCAGTGCAACTGCTTATATGCAAATGCACCCATGACAGCACCTGTATGGGGTACTTTGCAACCAGTTTGCCATATTTTGGGAGGTGATTTAGTATTTAGTAGGTTATGTTGAGTGAGAAACATTAATATAACTTTGGTCCTGGTCCCAACCACTGAGGAACTACGCATGTTTTAATATATGCACATGACAAATGCGTACTTCTGTGAAATTCTGTAGATGGCAACACTGGTGACAGTTTTAGTGATACTCGATAAGAAATGACTATACTGGTGATGGCTTCAGTTGAATTGTAGGCACTACTCATTCTCAGTTGTTTCTTGTCTCACTTGCAACTGATTTGTATTAAGTCAGATATGACATTGACTCGCAATGGGATGAAAATCATAGTGTCTTTATATGGCATCCAATTCATAATTTGTACACAGTAAGAAAAGAAGTTCCAGCATCTAAAACCATTTTATCAACCTTGAAAACGAATTTGCGCACAGTGAGAAAAGAAGTTTCAGCTCTGAAAAACATATCAGCAACCTTGAAATCACACATTAATGCTTCTGAAAGGGAAATATGAAGAAGATTGATGTTAATTTAAAGAAGAATGTAAGAGGAAGAACTTAGTGTTAATGGAAAGGAATGGATTTTACAATGGATGCCAGCTGTTGGTGAAAAAGGAGTCTGTTATTGCTTTGATGAGCCATGGATCAACCCAACATATACAGTTAGAAGATTTGGTAAGATAGCAAGACACTGTAATGAAGGATGATAGTGCTTGTCAGCGATTGATAATTGTGTGTGCTGGTTCTGAAGAAGAGCCTTTTCCTAGAGCATTCCTGAGTTTTAAATCAAAAGATGAAAGCTGGTGTTGTGAAACGACCTCAAGGTTTGTTCTTGTGATGTCACTTTATTACTCTTCAATGTAAGTACAATTCAATCTAACTGTAACACAAACTTTTGAACAAGTAATTTCACAATCAGTCCTTTCATGTTAACAACTCTCATTAGACTGTAGAACTCTAGAACTGTAAACTCCCTGTGCTGGCTAACCACTGCCTTCTGTCACACACTGTCACCATCGGCTTCCACTGGCTTGTGTCAATACACTGTCAGTGTCGGCTTCCACCGGCTTTTGTCAACACCACTGCCACTCTTTGCTTCCACTGGCTTCTGTCCACACCACTACCACAGCTCTGCTTGTTATACTTCAAACTGGACAAGTGAGAAACATCCCCTCCAGCAGCTCCTCTGCTGTTACGTCACAACAGGGAAGTGTTTACTGGCATCACATCGCACTGAGTCCACGATTCCCAACAGCTGATAACTCCTGCTATGAAGTAAAGTTTGATAAATTTTCGAACTGGGTTGAGGAACAACATCTGTGTAACATCCTACTGGAATGTGTAATAGTGTTAGACAATGTGACATGCTATTCTGTTAAAATTGATAAACCTCTACCTTTGGCACCAAGAAAAGGAGACATTCAGGAATGGCATAGTTATGAATAGGGAATGACAAAAAATGAACTAGTTTCAGTTTGTCTGAACTGAATAGCCTCCACCAAAATATTTAATCAATTCAGTATTTCAAAATGAAGTTCTCAAAACCATAAGGTTACCTCGATACCAGTGTTATCTGCATGAAGTAGAAGAATTTGGAATACTGTGAAAACTGGAATTGTATAAAAAATCTCTCTCAGAGTTTCTGAAATTTAAAATTGTGTAGCTCAAGCTATTTAAAACATAAACCAGGAAGACTGGGAAAATGATGTTGAAAAAACAAACTCCGTGGCTTATAGTCCACAAGTGAACCATACCGACCGTCCGAGCGACCGCTGCTTGTTGGCGAAGTTAGTGCCAACTTTAGCAGAGAGGTGTCGTGTAGTCAGCCCACCGAATCCCTACAGCCGTTATTTTCGGGTTTCTAGACCGGAGCCTCTATTTCCTTGAAGTAGCTCCTCAGTTATCCACACTAGATGTTTCACATGTAAGTAAAATCGAAGCTGATTGCAAGGGTTAATCTGAAAGAGAGAGAGAGAAAAAACAAGTGGTTATCAAGTTTGTTGAAGTAGATTGTGAAAGTGATTTGTGTAGCAGCAATAATGAAATAATCCTCTTCCAGCTAAGAAGTAGAGCACATAAGTCATGTTTAAGGCACTGATGCGGTTACATTATTTTTCTTTTGTCCTGCATTCATATTTTCGCATTTTATTATAAAAGTATGGAAATTTTGGTTACAACAGTACATTTTGTCTCAGAGTGACAACAATTACCCCGCTTTTCACTGTAGGCAGACTAACATCTGTACTTTGTTCACAATCAGTTAACGTAGTCGAGTAGTAGAGGTATGTTACTGTTAGTTCGACTTTCGATACGAGATGTCGCTAGAGTATCGTATATGTTTCTGGCATCAGCTCCAACATCAAGGGGCCGGGCTCGTGGCTAATTCTTCGGGAAGCCGTCAGTCTTTGACCGGTTTTTGACGTGAGAAGTGTATGGTGATTTGTGCTAGTGGTTCAACGTGTAGGCAATTTGCTGTCCACGTGGTGTCAGACGTTAAAGTGGTGGTATTTGTCAACGACTTTTTTGCGCTCTGAGAATGCTTTAAATACCGGATTCTACTTTACACGTCTCTTCGTTGGCAGATTCACAGGTGAGGCGCTTTTAACTTGTTGAGCGTTTTGTGACATTTGAGAACATGACAGTATTTTAGCGGGAACAACGCCAGACAGTGATCGATGCCTATGTATTCACCATATCATTTATTTTGCGTTATGTGTCGAACATGTGTTGGCATGTTCAGAAACATCCGGAAATATGACAAGTTGAAATAATTTTAAGCTATTTAACATCCTACCAGTTTAGTTATTATTGATAGTGATCACGAGTTAGATCGTGAGAATGGTGGTATGAAAGGTATAACACATGTCTTGGCGCAGTTTTCAGAATCATAAATTCATTTGTATGGAACTCTGACATTGACTGTCTGTGCTTCTTAGACGGAGATGCGTAAAAACATAGAGTACATTGATTTTTTATATATGAAATCAGTAGATTGTGGCAATAAGCTGCATTAATTATGCTTTCTTTTAATCAGTAAATGTTAACAAAGAAATATGATATGTAAGATATTCTTGAAAGTGTTTGATCAAAATGCATATGAAATGGTGCTTGATGTGTGGGTCTCCCGAATTTGCTGTGCATCGAGCTCGATAACATACCGCGTCAGCAAAGTAATGCAGAGTGATATATGTAAACCGAGATTTCTCATACT